ACCAATGATAATGGGGAAGCAGTTCTTGATCGATATCTAGCCGAGTCATCTGTTCAAGGTAATTATTCATGGATAAAGCAGAAAGAAGTTAAGAAGATATTAGTGATGCGTTTTGGTTGGATCAGTCGATTAAGAACATGAGTCTGGTGGAACTACTACAATATGCGATGGCGCTTAATGACTTGAGAAAAAACGCAGAGGCTAGAGTGGAGGAGCTGAGCATTCAAAAATCTACTTGTTTATGGCATTATGTTGCTGATCAGGAATTGAACAAGGCACAGTTCTTACAGCAGTTAATGGTTGGGGGAAATTATGATTGGTGGCGCAACTCTGACAGTTTCACTATTGTTAAGCATCGTCATTGAATTTAATCACTGCATAATTAGAGAATGATTAATTGGTGGATTATATATATTAATTACCTCTTTTAGGAGGAAAATTTTGAGAGCTAATACTAATGCATAAGATAACATTATTATCTTTATTTTATTTTGCTCTTGGGTTGTAGTTTTTGAACAGTTTTACATGATTGGAAAGAATAATTTATTGTATTTTACTAACAATTTCCAATTGGCTATCAAGACTTCAAAAAGGACAATAAGATGAGAAAAATATACTAAATCATAGATTTTTGAAATCTATGCATAAGCCCACATATAGTCTAATAAGAAGGTGGACCGTTTTGCCTAGTCACTTGGATTGGATTAATTAGCGACTAATGTAACTAGGAAAAAAAACTTAATTGTTTCATTATGGTTGGTATTTAGATTATTATGGATTTTGATGACAATTTCGATCATAATTTTTTCTTTATATTTTCTTCTTGGGTCATTCAAAAATCATCTAATTTTTTTTTTTTTAACATTGGAGAGGAATTACCAAATGAAGTCATCTTAAAAAAACCCCCTATAATCCATCTGCCTCATCTATAATGAAGTTGATCATTAAAAAGAATTAGTCTGGGTCTGGAAATGGATCCAGGTCCCTTTCACCATGTCTTATTTATTGTCTAGTGATTAATTTTTCTGTCCTGTCTTGTTATTTTAACAATAAAATTGAAGTTGGACAACAATACAATTTGAAGAGAAGAATGAAGCAAAATAAAATCCGGGTATAGTGGAGTATATATAGTTTCGAATAGAAGTCAAGATAATAAGTGTTTATCGATTGGTAGTGAACAATAAAGTGAAAGCTGATGGCAATCTAATAATATTAAAAACCAATGTTTAATTTTTCAGACAAATATCTGAACATGACACCAAATCCTCTCTTCGATTGAGGATAAATCGAATAGATCAGTAGATACGTCTGAAGTAATTATCTGAAACATTTTATCCTAAGGCATATTTATTTTGTTCCTACAAAATAAAAAATATTCAATAAAAAAACCAGTAGCTAATTGTATAATACCAATTGGAAATTAAATCAATTTGAAATTTCATGTTTGTGGAGTTATCCGTCTAATTTTTCCCCTTTTGGCTTTATTTCAACACAGTATTTTCAATTGGAACTGTTCTTTCTCGTATAATAGTGTTTTATATTTCAATCGAAACTGTTTCTTTCTCATATAATACTGTTTATATAAAGAAGCAATCACCAAGTAAAATTTTTTAATTTTGTCTTTTTAATAATTGATTTCAACAAATTTAATGGATGTGTAAGAATATCAATGGGTATAATACGAGACGAGTATACCATTTCCTATCTTCATCTTCAAATTTTTATATTGTACCAATTTTAATATTTTTATCTAATAGGTATTTCAAATATATCTTCATCTCCATGCTCGTATATATTTAAAGAGTATGGGTGATCTTGTAACTGTAACTTTTCTAAAAAAATAAAAACCAAATTCTATTTTTTGCTTTTTTTTTATTTTTAAAATTTTCACATTTGTGAAATTTTTTATAAACATATTAATATATATTTTTAAATAGAAATATATTAATTTTAATTTATCTAAAATAAAATTTTATATTATTTAATAAAAATTTATTTACTAAATATAAATATAAGATACCAATACAGAATATGTACTATATTATCCATCTCTATTCTCGTATCTGATAAAAAATTTAAAATCATATATATTTCCATCTTTATCCCTAAAATTTAATACTCATTATGTTTCCATTAGGGTATAAAGTCAAGTTTCCTATCAAGAACGGGTAAAATTTTGTCAAGTTTAAATCGAGTTTTGAGTTTGAAATTTTTAATCGAGCTCGAGCATAGCAGTGTATTAGCTTGACTCGACTCGATTACACCCTTACTTGTAAATAGTTTAAGTAAAGCACAAGTTATGGAAAAACAAGAGAATAATGGATTAATCAACACGCATGCAAAATCTATTTTCAATTCTTTTCGACAAACATACATATGCAAAATCTGATATGATCTTATTATTATTTTAAAATTTAAAAAGCTATTTTCTTTTTGTTTGTCACATTTTTTTCATAAATCCAATTCCATTCCAACTTTGCAATCAATCAAAATTTTCATTAAAACTTTTACCCCATTCAAAACTTTCACTTGACATTTCTTTTAATTGAATTTATCAAAAAGTAAATTTCTATCATTGAAATTAAATTTAATATTTTATCAATTACACGCGATTGTTAACATTTGGCTGACATTTCATATATGTTTTAAATGTTTGATTCTAATCATAATATTGTTTCATTTTTGTTGTATTTACCATTGTAATCAATTTAAAGGATCAAATTATGTTATCAATCTCAGTAATTAAGTAAAAATATAGATTTAGTCTAGTCAATTGCAATAATTTCAATATTGACAATACCTTTACTTTTCAAATTTTGGAATTTCAATCGAATCGTTAATATTTAATTTTTTTTTCGTTAAATCCGCTGATGTGGATATTGATCTGTTAACATGACATTAATTTTGATTACATGGCAAATTTCATTGGCTAGTGATTTGGGTTATGATGACATGGATTTTTTTAATTCACGTGGCAAAGATGTGAAATTGGGTAGGTAATTTATTACATAATTATGACATAATGGTATTTCCCAAATTCTTATTTATTTTTATCTTTTTTATCTCTTTTTATTCTCTTTTATCTTTCTTTTCACCCTTTAACTTCAAACAAAATCCAAAAATGATAACTTTTTTTCTAGATTTTAACATCAGTCACCTTTTTTGTCACTGTCCACCATCACTACCACCGCTTGTTTGCATCAATTTTCCTTCAAAAACCATCTTTAAACTCCTTTCGACCTTATCTTAATTTTTATAAGACTAGATTTCCTTAAAAACATCTATAAATCAATAGGTCTAGATCTAAAGTTGCAAATTCCTCTTTAATAAATCTCTATAATCAAAACAAAATTTTCAAATCTTCTTGGATATTCTCAAAACCAAAAAAACCTAATCTTATCCCTAAAACTTAAAACCCTAATCTCACTGTTTATGTCGAGTTGCCCGATGAGGCTAAAAACCTAAAATCATAAGGTCAGAGGTCGATTAGAAGTAAAGGTTGACATTTTTCAGGTAATTTTGCTCTAACTCTCAAGTCAGTACTTAATAAGAGAGGGAGAATGAAAGATATCTTAAAAAAAGAGAGAAATAAATTAAATGTTCATACATAGTGTGAAAGGGCTACTTATACTTGTAAAGTGAAAATGTCAGGCTTGTATGCCTTGAGCTTTGAAAGTCAGGTATAGAGCTAACAACACTAGCTCGACTTGACCAGACAGGTTGAGGTCTAATCAGGAGATGATAAGTCAAGTTGGTCGAGTTAATGTAGATCCTTAGATTTCAGGTCAGTCCACCATATTAGCTCAGGTCAGAATGACTAAATTACTCTTTTTTTGTTGATGAGTCACCCTCTAAAAGAAAAAGTCCATAATGCT